TGTGTGTATGGTTTCTTTTTTCTTTACTCGTATTAAATCGTACATATTTTAAATAACGTTAAATGCAATTATAAATTAAACGATACGAGAAAGAAAAAAAAAATATATGTGATAGTTTTATCGTAATACAAATTATTGATAATTTGTTACGTACCTGGCCAACAAATTCAGGTTTATCTTTCATCCTATCTAAAAGTAACTTCCCGACGCTCTTGTATTCCGTGATTAAGGGTTCATCTTTGCCTTTCAATATATTATCCTTTATAGTAAAATCTGTATTATTTGTCTGAAATAATAAATTAATATCGTTTGAAATATTTAACACATTTATCTCATATATAATATTAAAATTAATTCGTAATATTTAATTTTAATTTTCGATTATTCCTAATCGTCGTTATATTTAATTTTCATTTTTAACTTAAACGTTATTTAACGCGTTCAACGATTGGATTTGAAGATTAAATTTAATCGATTCCAATTAAACGTATCTTAATTAACTTTTTTCCAGAATGTTCGATAATAAATAATTTATTTGAAATGATTCGTGAAAATCGTTAGAAAAAAAACTAAATATACAAATTTGTAAAATAATTCTTTGTGAAATACTTACGATTTTAAATTTATCGTCGGCCACCATGGTTGTACGATTAATACGAACAGAGAGAAAAAAAAAAAATATATATATATATATCTATGTTATATTATATCACAATTTATTTGAATAATTTTCTCTTAAACAAAAACGATATTTTAACGAAATAAACGCGAATCCTTGATAACTTGTTATAGTGATATACGAGTAACGACTGAATACAGAAATCTTTATGCTTTTCCTCTTATTATAGGAGGTATAAGAATGACGAGAACGTTCTCTTATTATATATGCCCTTCCACTTTCATAAATTTCACATTACTCCCCTCCCTATGTTTCCTTTACAATGTAAACTTTCACGTCACGTTGATATCAACCGATAGTTTTGTTACAAATCTTCAGTTCTCCCCTCCCCTCCCTCCGCCTCCTCCCCCATTCCAACAGTTAATTATATATAATTTTTGATATAACTATTATACACGTTATATCAATAGATTATTATTATTATTATACAAATATAAGAAAATCTCACGTGATTTTTGTAAAAAAAAATTTGAATATATTCATTTATATAAATATGTTATTTCCGTTTGATCTCTCGATGTATATTTAATTATAGTTTTCTAACGTTTCTACGTTCATATTATTACTGATTAATTTATAATAGAATGTGTTATTCGTCTCAATCTTGAGAAATAAATAAACTAAAGTTTTATATCGATATTTTCAAATGATTTTTTTTTTTTCATGATCTTGGCCTTTGTTTTATTTTTCTTTTTTTTTTTTTTTTTTTTTTTTTTCAAATTATTTTTCTCTCTATGGTTATATTTCTTTTTGTTAATGGATTTTTTTTTTTTTGTTTTGTATCGTAGCTCCTCGTAGGAAGTCGACAATTAATTCGAATAACAGATAAAAACACGCGATGCGAATTTCGTAATCTATTAATCATTTTCTTTCGTGACGATCAAGAAAATTGTTAATTATTATTTATTAATTCATATTTTCCACAGACGGTATTAATTTATCGGTTATATCATAAATGATTCGCAGAACGAATAGCTTGTTTCTTCATCTTTTCGTTTTTTTGTCCAACATTTTTTTTTTTTTGCAGTTTCGATATTTGAGAAGAAATAGAAGTAAGGTTTGATATATATACTGTGAAAATAATGAAATATTGCAAATTTATACGATCCTCTTGTGTCGTCTTATGCAAAATTATATTTTAAATTTAAAACTTTCTAAAGGTGTGTGTAACATTATAAAATGATTATCTATGATTTGACTTTGAATTATCATAGTCAAAGTATCAAATGTACTTTCTTTATCTTTGTTTAACAAGATTCGGTGCAACAGAGCAATGTATCATTGATACAGAATATATTATCTTGAATTTGTTGTACTTTGATCTTTCTTCTTCTGTATATATATATATATATATATATCGTAAATACAAATGTTTAAATATGATATTTTAATTTGAATTTAATCGATTAAACGAACGATAACAAACTATTAAATTCGAGAAATAATAATTACTTCGGAAAAGAATGTTTTAATTTATTCCATAAAAAAAAAAAAAAAAGACAAAGAAAACGTGATTAATTTATCTTTGAATAAATCAATAAAAAGTGTATTAAACGTAGATACATTATATTCTAAGTAGCGTTCGGTAAAAAAAATAGGTTTAAAAGTTAACGCGAGTATTAATTTTTTTTTATTGTAAAAAGAAATATATAAAAACTACACAACAGTGTTACCTATTATCAGTTCGAACAAACGTTAGCTCAATTGTTGCAAATAAATATCAAATGAATTTTTATATATCTAACGTTTAACCTGGTGTTTAAATAATTTCAATGTAATCAATTTTACCTAATAATTTGTTTATTTATGTTTACTCTTCCATTGATAACACTAATGCATACACACATTTTCTTTTCAAACGTACGATAAAAACCTGATTCGCGTCGGATAATAAACGAACAATTCCATACACACGTTCCACTTTTTCAATTATCATGGAAATTATGTTCTTGATAATTGTCTATTGCAATTAATTTCGATCACAACTTGTTTTCGTTTATATCGGGATGTATCGATAATAATTATTTTATTTATTTTTAATTGACAATAAATAATGCAGTTATATTTGTTGTACTTTTATTTATTTCTTCTTTTTTTTTTTTTTTTTTTTTCTTTCTTTCTTTTAAATTTAAAATCAATTTTTGATATCTCAGAAAAATTTATTCACGAAAAAGATCTCGATTAATTAATTAATTGATAAATGAAATAAATATAGGATACTTTTTTTTTTAAATCTCTGATAATAATAATGAGTATAGGTATATATTTTATTTATATTTAGATGTGCACCTAACATCTTGATAAGGGACAATTGATATAAACATTATTCTAGTTTGTTTAATTAATTATTATGACTACAATGAGAAAAAAAAATCATTTAACAATTTAAGATAAAAATAAGTTGTTTTAATAATCTTGAAAGATACCTCGTCTCTAATACAAAATATCTTTCGCGTGGTACAATTATTGTCATAATATAATATATCGTACAATTCTAATCTATACTATCGTATCTTTGACATAAACATTATGATATCGAAGAAACAATTCGGTTAATCGAAGTTTAACGATTAATATAATTATGTGTGATGGATCTAACAAATAATTTCTTATCTTATTTTATTCGTTTTAATTATTTTACCAACTTCATGAAATTCTTTTTTTCAACAATTCAATTTATATTTTTTCTTTTTTTTATTTGTGTGTGTGTGTGT